AAAGAATGCTAAACCCTTATGTAATATCTAATCTTTTACCTAGCAATAAAAGCTTAACAATCGGCTCATGTCTTTGAGAAAGTAAGCAAAGTTTTAAGACATATGAAGATATTGTTAGAAACAAAGAAAAGACTGCAGAAATATTATGTGATATCTATTCTACAGGGTAAGATGAATAAATTGTTGTCTAAAAAGACCTTCTACCCATAATGCACCACTGACCAGATTCTGTAGCATGTGCTTCATGATTAGCCCTCTACATCCGCTGGTTCAAGCGTTGAGATCTGTTGTAATCACCGTCCGCTTTTTCTACGGTTGGGGTCTTGGGATTTGGTCTCGCTTAGTCTGGGTCCTCGTCTTCGACTTTACATCAAAGAATGGCCCTACCAGGAGTTTAGAACTCCCAACGGCATCGTTCTCAAAGTCACTGGACAACGCAAGGCTCTCCCTCACGATACGGAGCGACTATCAGTGGTACACACATAGAAACACACATATATTTTACATTGGATGTCGAAGTTCGCCATCAAATGTACCGTCGTCGTCGTCGACACCCGCTCGTATCCGAACATCGGGATCGTCATCCTCGCTCTCAAACTTATATATATATATATATATATATATATATATATAAAAAGAACAGTAAGATATATAATCCGGTGTTCTTATAGATATTTTTACAAAATAGTGCTCAATTTAGCTTCCATTTTTGAAACATGGTTAGAACTGTGTAGCGAAAAAAAACATATTTTAAATCAATTAATTTATATATATATATATATATATATATATATATATATATATACGAAGCCAGACTTTTGAAATAAAACTATGAAACCGGATATGTAGAGAATAAATATTGATCGCAATTCTTTATTGAAGGGAAGAATAATACCAATAATTCCTGTTCATCGAACGGGTCGGAAACCGTTCCGACTTCCCTCACACAAGTAGCCGGCAGCTGTCTTTGACCGTAGTGTAGTCGTCGCAGTGACCATGCGACTTCATGGAGCTATGTGTGAGCGTTGGATGAAGGCCGTAGACCAGCAGAGTTCCGATTCCCAATTCACCTAAAGAAGGATCGACCACTTCACTACAAAGGTACTACCACTGACGATACACCCCAAAAATAATCAACCAAAATAGGAAGCGTGAACATTAATACATTCCTGTCATCGATTTACAAAATTATTCATGTAATTTTTATAAAATTCTAACAGTTTCGACACCAAGAAAAATTTGAATGCAGTTTCTGCATTTTCTTTGAAACAGAATCTCTGCGTTTCAAAAAACATCAAAATGTTTGAAAACTTGGTAGTCACTGTGCAAGGCATCATGGGAATATGCTGGATATGGTATCCCAAGTCGGTGAGCTTTTGCAGTGTCGTTCTGACAACATGTACCCTAACATTGTCCTGACGCAGACTTGGTTTTTAGTCATAATAAAGTGAATTACAAGCACATGGCTAGTTATTGCAGGAGAAACGTCTGCAACGATCAGAATAACCTTCTTGTTCATCCGTTGAAATATGAAACAACAGAAGTGATGACAGACTGATCATAAATTAAGAAAACTATACTGCTTCAGCCATAACATGTGTACGAATTACAAACATTTTTTTTTATTTTAGGTGTGCAAAATATCCCGTGGTAATAAAGAAATGAATTTTCTAGTCTTTCAGATTATCAGAAATGCTTTTAAAGGATTTTTTTACTATTCTTCACCCAATACAAGCCTCAAGAGCCACTAAAAAAACGGTAATATTAGCTGTTTCCTTATAAAAAAATATTCGACATTCATTGGCCGAGAAATAGGTTTCTCCAAACAGACGAAATCTGGCAAACCTGTTGGCATCGGTCTATCGGACGCTTGGTCTGTCAAGGTCCGCCTTGGTTACGTCCGCCCGACTGACACTGCCATCTTTCTCCGGTTTGACCTTTGAGATCGTGTACATATTTGCCTATTCAGCGGCTGGGGTCTTCGTGGGTTGGCCACGTACCTTTCTCTTCGAAATTTGCAGCAATGGGTGGCACTACCATAGTTGTAACTCCAGACGGCTTCGTTCATTGGATCACTAGGACAAGTAAACCTTCCACCATGACAAGGAACGACCATATATATGTTATACTGGATGTCTGAGTGAACAGTGTTTTATCAAATGTAACACTGACTTATTAATTTAATAGCAATAATAGAAACTTATCGATGGATAAGAAACGAATGAAAGTATAAAATTGTCATTAAATATATAAGGACATTTATTGTCGTTGCTACAAGCGCTGTGTTTGTTTTTTGATTTTGTCGAGTGCACACTATCTTAGGGTCAGTTGGACAACGTCTGTGAGGAAAAGAACACCGTGACGAACTTCATTCCGCCAGAAATTTTGAATCGATATGCTGTACTAATATACTGAACCAATAGTCAAAGATAAAGAAAACAAAACATTACGACTCGAAGAAGCTAGAAGCGCCACCCACACGGATCAAAGGGAGTTGAAACAGGCGAAATCAGGCGAACCTGTTTGTACCGGTCTATCGGACGCTTAATCTGTCAAGGTCCGCCTTGGTTACGCCAGCCCGACTTGCGCTGCCCACTTCACCCGGTTTGGCCGTTGAGATCCTGTAGATCTTTGCCTATTCCGCTGTTAGGGGTCTTCGGGGGTTGGTCGTGTTCCTTCCTCTTCGAACTTTACCGTGATAGGTGGCACTACCATAGTTGAAACTCCAGACAGCTTCGTTCTTGGGATTACTGGGACACGCAAGCCCTCTACCATGACAAGGAACGAGAGATGAGAGTTTCCTTTCTAACCTTTTATTTAAAGTAGTGCGGAATGCCAGCTTCTTGATTATATCATTATTTTCTGTCTGAGTTATATGTGCTATCCATTTTAGTTGTTTTCATTGTTGAATGTCATCAAGTGATGTGGTTTCTGTTATTTGGTACTGTTCTTTGCGATTCTTTAGCGCCAGTCCACAATGTTCGAAGAAGGATGGTCTTCGTTCAGACCTACACATTTCATTAGCTCAAAGTTTTTTTTCACCTGAGGAAGAGCCACTCAAGCTAGAGGGTTATTGAATTGGTTTTGTGATAAGAGTGTAAGCGTCGGAAGTAGAACGTGACGATATAACAACGTTTGACCCTTGTCTTGAAGAGGGCAAGATTGTAGCGTTCGGGAAACATAGATAGATAGAAAGATAGATCGACAAACGCGAAGAGTTTACTAGCAATTAGATATGAAGTTGTTTGATAGATAGATCGATAATCTATCGATCTATCTATTGATGCGAAGAGCCTGATAGATAGATAGATAGATAGATAGATAGATAGATAGACAGATGGATGCGAAGAGCTTGATAGATAGATAGATAGATAGATAGATAGATAGATAGATAGATCGACAAGCGCGAAGTGTTTGCTAGACAGATATGAAATTGTTTGATAGATAGGTCGATAGAGATAAATGCAAAGAGCTTTATAGATAGATAGTTACATAGATAGATAGATAGATATACGCGAAGAGTTTGCTAGACAGATATGAATTGTTTGACAGATAGATAGATAGATAGATAGATAGATAGATAGATAGATAGATATGAAAATTCTGATGATAGCCAGTAATGGCAATGTTGATATTATCTCTTTCTTTATAAGGAAATAATTATCATTCACTTACCGAGTAGCCAATACTATTTTCGTTCGAAATTTGTAAAAGAATAAAACAAAAAATCATGTTTCTCAAGTCCAGTAGCTGTTATCGTTCTTTCTCTTATTGATGGAGGTTTCCTTCCGAATCTTCTGTTTGATGCGTTGCAGAATGGTAACATCTTGAGTATGTCATTATATTCTCTTCGAGTTACATTCCCCACCCATTTTTGTTATTACTGCTGTTGGTAGTCCACAAGTCATGTGGTTTCTGTTATTTTGTATTGTTCTTTGTGATTCTGTAGCGCCAGTCTACAATGCTCAGGGAAGGATGATTTTTGCCAGGACTTTTCAGGTTTTACAATCTCAAATTTACAATTTTTTTAACATTGGTTTTAGAAAGCGGTAAAGCGGTGGTCAAGGCTCAAAGTACTAATTAGGGTAGGAACAGAGAAACTGCAAAGGTTTTGGGGCCACAGCCACGTGCAACTGATACGTGTCCGGTGACATGTGCAAGGAAGATGATTTCTTGATGTCATCAGTGTAGCGAGGCAATTACAGTGTCCGTTAACCCTTTGACCCCTGCGTTCCTGAACCATTTTAACCTTTCTGTCTAAGCTCCTGAGTCAAAATTCGTAAATAATTGGTATGTAATGTTTCACGGTAGATATAAAAACAATTCCAAGTGTTTAACCACCGTTCAACCGGTGGCTGAACATTAAATCATTTTCTCTACCACCGTTTAACCGGTGGCTGAGCATTACTTTTTTCTCTACCACCGGTAAAGCGGTGGTCAGGGCTCAAAGGGTTAAATCGGACAAAATAGAAACCCTGAACATCTGTACATTTCTGCCATCGAGTTACAATGTTATTTATGCCTTTAAGATAAAACTGTAATGACAAAAGTACTCAGGTGTAGACTTTAAGAAAGCTTTATTCAACTGAGAATACAAGGTTCACGCATAGTGTCCTTTTATATTCCCAGTAAACAGAAATAGATCTGAATTCTATTTATTCCGTAAAATAGGCTCACAAGGCCCGCATTCGTCTCTCATTGGTCAGTATCTTAATAGATAGATAGATAGATAGATAGATAGATAGATCGACAAACGCGAAGTGTTTGCTAGAAGATAGATATGAAGTTGTTTGATAGATAAATCGATAGATAGATTGATGCGAAGAGCCTGATAGATAGATAGATAGATAGATAGATAGATAGATAGACAAGCGCGAAGAGTTTGCTAGAAGATATGAAATTGTTTGATAGATAGATAGATAGATAGATAGATAGATAGATAGATAGATAGATACATAGATAGATAGATAGATCGACAAACACAAAGAGTTTGTTAGCAGTTAGATATGAAGTTGTTTGATAGATCGATAGATAGACTGATGCGAAGAGCCTGATAGATAGATAGATAGATAGATAGATAGATAGATAGATAGATAGATAGAATGAACAAGCGCGAAGAGTTTGCTAGAAGATAGAAATTGTTTGATAGATAGATAGATAGATAGATAGATACAGAGATAGATGGATCGACAAACACAAAGAGTTTTGTTAGCAGTTAGATATGAAGTTGTTTGATAGATCGAAATAAATGCGAAGAGCCTGATAGATAGATAGATAGATAGATAGATAGATAGATAGATAGATAGATAGACATGAAGAGTTTGATAGATAGACGATGGGTTTGATCTCACTTAAATAAAGCTTTCTTAAAGCTTTATTCAACTGAGAATACGAGGTTTGCGTATAGTGTCATTTCATAGTCCCAGTAAACAGAAATAGATCTTAATTTCTATTTATTCCGTAAAATAGGCTCACAAGGCCCGCATTCGTTTTTTATTGGTCATTATATACGAAAAAAATATTTACCATAATTAGAAATGGATCCTTCACAAATTTCGGCAGGTTTTAACCGCTGAACCTAAAAAGATATATAAGTGTAACAACTTTTTTACATAAAATGTCTGGCCGTCATAAAATATACATGCATTCGAAAAAAGTACGTCAAAAGGAACTGCTAGAACTACTAAGCAACCTTGATATATTCGGGAAAGATATCAGAATAATCAAGAACCAATACTGGCAGCAAATGACGTGCATTCGATCGAGAATGAGTTCAGTAAAAATAGAAAGAAGCGTAAGGCAAGGAGGTGTCTTCTTACCAGACTTATTCAACCTATACAGCGAGACACTTCTGAGAACATTGGAAACCCTACCGGGATTCAGCATCGGCGGCCACAATCTTAACAATATAAGATACGCAGATGACACGGTACTGATAGCAGACACGGAAAAGAAACTACAAAACCTCCTACGGAAGGTAGCGAAAGAGAGCAAGAAGAAGGGACTAAGCATAAACTACAAGAAAACAATGCATGGTCATCAGTAAAAGGATGAACCCGAAATGCGATTTACAGGTCGGGGACACTAAAATCAAACATGTGTGGAAGTTTAATTATTTGGGTAGTGCTCTGGCGGAGGACGGTAGATGCGACGCTGAGAGCCGAGGACGTGTTGGGATGGCCAAGGATGCATTCCAAAAGCTGGGAAAAGTACTGCGAGACAGGAGGATTTCTATGGTGACAACGAAAAGAGTACTGAGCTGCTACATGACATCTGTCTTTCTATACGCTGGCGAATGTATGCAAAAACATTCGCAAAGTACACCACAAGGATCTGTTGGAACTGCTCAGCAACCTTGATATATTCGGGAAAGATATTAGTATAATCAAGAACCTATACTGGCAGCAAACAGCATGCATGCTAATAGAAAACGAGTTCAGCGAATATGCAAAAATAGAAAGAGGCGTAAGGCAAGGATGCGTCTTCTCACCGGACTTATTCAACTTATACTGCAATTCTGAGAGAATTGGAAACCCTAGCGGGATTCATCATTGGCAGCCACAATCTTAACAACATAAGATGTACAGATGACACAGTACTGATAACAAATACGGAAAAGAAACTACAAAACCCTCTTACAGAGGGTAGCGAAGGAGGGCGAGAAGAAGGGACTAAGGATAAACTACAAGAAGACAGAATGCATGGTCATCAGTAAAAGGATGAGCCTGAATTTACAGGTCGGGAACACTAAAATCAAGCTGGTGCAGAAATTTAAATATCTGGGAAGTGTTTTGACAGAGGATGGCAAGTGAGACACTGAGATCCATAGACGTATTGGGATGGCCCAGGATGCATTCCAAAAGTTGGGCAGAGTACTACGAAACAGGAGGATTTCTATGGTGACAAGGAAAAGAGCACTGAGCTGCTACATGACATCTGTCTTCCTATACGCCAGCAAATGTATCCTCAAGGATGAAGAAGAGACTCGAGGCGGTGGAGATGTGGCTCTACAGAAGGATGCTGAGCATATCATGGACCAAGCGTGTGAGCAACGATGAGGTCTTGGAGAGGATGCAAACAAGGAGGAAACTTACGTTTAACATAAGGAAGAGGCAGATGAAATTCATGGGACACGTGATGAGAAAGGAGGGCTTGTAGAATCTGATACTCACGGGACGAATAGAGGGGGGGAAAAGACAGGGGAAAGCAGCACATGCCATACGTGGGCAGGTGGATCGCGGTGCGTGGCCTGGAGGAGTTGGCAGAAACACAAAATCTGTTGAGAAACACATGGGATAGAGGAAAGTGGAGGGCCATGATCGCCTACGTCCTGAAAGGCCACGACACATAAAAAGAAAAGAACGAAAAACAACCTCGACGATTAAACATTTATTCAAGGCTAACATTTTAAAAGTAATAAAAAGAAAAATGTTATATAATTTCTCAGATGCTGCATCGAACACTCTTCAAAACACACTTCTTTCACTTTCTGTGGACTCCATTTATCGTGTTTCTTCACTTTGCCAATTCCCTTGAAACATCCCGATATTGTTGAAATGCCGACATTCATTAGCTGAGACATTTCTATGACACTTTGATGTTTTATTCCACTAGTTTTTTTCATATGTTCATTTGTAGATGGATGTTATCTACCACCGTGATCTTCAAGAGCCGTATCCTCTCAGCGGGGCCTAAGAAGCCAGTTCTGTACGGCCTATCACAAGTCGATCATTCAACTCCTGCTCTTTGAGCATTATGACCAAGCCTGAACTCATGCAAAGAAAGGAAACGCATCACATTTTTTTCATGTTCAAGATAAAGGATATATAATGTTCTAAGTTAAATTCTCAAAGAGATTGATATAAAATTAACAAAGATACGTTAATGATTAAGAACTAGTAATATATTTTGTACAACTATTATTTATAACTAGCAGCATGACCCGGCATTGCCCGAGCTTGATTCAAAAATCGTACGACTCATACAGCAATCGCTATCACTTGACTTAAAATATTTTTGCCCTTGCTTGCCTTTAAAGGAGTGCCCTTTGACGTTCTGATGTTGCTACATGCCTTACTTCTTGCCTATCTCACACTGCGAAATTTTTCTAAGCTCTATACTAAACATTAAATCTGTTACGAAAAAAGTACTAAGCAAAATGAACACAAAACGATCAGCTTTAAAAAAGGACTCGTAACTGGAAAAACCGAATGAAAAAAGAATGTTAACAACAAATACTTTTTCACACCCAACCCAGTTCTGCGGAATCAGAATCAACGTTGAGTTTAAGCAAGCGAATGAGCCAATTGGAGTAAAGTGCCATGCAGATTTCAATTTTTCCCACTTGTGACGAATGCAGCTATCGATTTTTTTGCATGCTAGTTAACATTCGTGTGAGTCAGCTGTTGGCTCTCACGCTGACCAATAGAATCTTCCTGCCTATTCGTGGCAGCCAACTATAGGCTCTCACTCTGGCCAGTAGAAAATGGCGTAGAAGCATGAAAAAATCGATTATTTCCACTATCGATAGGAGTTGGGAAATGCAAAGTCGGTCTTGGCCTTCCCGCTAGAGATATATTAGAACACAATAAAAAAGTTTATTTTAAAATCGGACATTATTTTCTGAACAAACTAATGATCTGAATTCTGAAAGATTGATATAAAATTAACAGGATAGTTTAATAATTAGGAATGAGTAATATATTTTTCAGCAATTATCATAATAATATATTAGAACACAATTAAAAGGTTTATTCTATAACCAGACATTATTTTCCGAACAACTTAATACGATTTTCCAGTGTACACACAAGATGCGTCACGTATTTGAGAACAAAATTCTGAAAGCGAATGATATAAAATTAACAGAGGAAACTTTAATCATTAGGAATAAGTAATATATTTTTATGCAACTATTATAATAATATATTAGAACACAAATAAATTGTTTATTCTAAAATCGGACATTATTTTCTGAACAACCTAATACAATTTGCATTATATACAGAGGTGCGTCACGTATTTGAGAACAAATTTCCGAAAGAAATTGATGTGAAATTAACAAAGAGGACACTTTAATCATTAGGAATTAGTAATATATTTATGTTCAACTATTAAAATAATATACTAAAACACAATTTAAAAGTTTATTCTCAAAGCCGACATTATTTTCCGAACAATCTACAGGTTAATTTCTAAAAGAGATGCATATAAAATTAACAAAGAGAACACTTTAATCATTAGGAATTAGTAATATATTTATGTGCAACTATTGAAATAATATACTAAAATGCAATTAAAAAGTTTACTCTCAAAGCCGACATTATTTTCCGAACAATCTACAGGTTAATTTAATAAAAAGAGTTGGATATAAAATTAGCAAAGAGGACATTTTAATAATTGGGGATAAGTAATATTTTTGTACAACTATTATAATAATATATTAGAACACAAATTGTTTATTCTAAAATCGGACATTATTTTCTGAACAACCTAGCAATTTAAATTCTGAAAGTGATTGATATGAAATTAACAAAGAGGACAATTTAATTATTAGGAATGAGTAAAATATTTTTTCTGTACCTACTCGCATTATTTACATTATTCGGGCTGTTATCCTCATCTTCATTGCCATATTCACAACGTTCCGGCCGTTGTATGTACCGGCCTTCTTCAGGTGATTGGAATGAAGATGAGGATAACAGTCCGAATAATGTAAATAATGCAAGTAATCATAACACCTTATCTCAGAGATATAAACAGATATTTTGTGCATTTATTATAATAATAAATTAGAACACAAAAAGTTTAATCTAAAATAGTACATTGTTTTCCAAACAACTTAATATTATTTTTCCAGTTTACACACTAGATGCGTCACGTGTTTGAGAACAAAAATCTGAAAGAGAATTAAGAATAAGTAATATATTTTTGTGCAACTATTATAATAATATATTAGAACAAAATTAAATAGGTTATTCTAAAATCGGACATTATTTTCTGAAGAAACTCACAATTTAATTTCTGAAAGTGATTGATATAAAATTAACAAAAAGGACACTGTAATCATTAAGAATGAATAATATATATTTTAACTCTTATAACACAATTAAAAGGTTTATTCTCAAATCGAATATTATCTTCCAAACAACAAAATAGTTACGTGGGATTAAATGTGTTGTATTTATTTTTTATTTTTTGACAGCACATAGATAAACTGTGTATCTTTCTATTAAATTTTATACGGAGTCTTGTCTTTTCTTTTCTCATATTTCTGTGTGTGTCTAAGTATTTTTCAACTCTTGTTTCCACACCCAACGTCTTGTTCTCTCAGTCAAATCTGATTGGTCGATTTTATGTGACGTCAAGCATGAACCACAGTTTCGTATTAATGAATAAAACAGAAGAGCTGAGCGTCACACGCCCTGAATCGATTCAATTCTAGGTTGTTATTATTATTATTATTGTACGACTCAATTCGTCTTTTTTTACTTTGGTCTTGGGACATAACAATGTCACCCTTTTGTAGATTTAAGCACACACACACACACACACATACACACACAGTCAAAGCATATTTATCTATCTACTAGCATCTCAGTTCCTCAGGCGTGATCTTATTACCATTATCATTATGGCTTGGCTTCCCGATAGAGCATTTGTAAGGGTTTTCCACTTCTGTTACAGTTCGTCCGATGGACAGCAACACCCACGAGGGAGAAGTAAACTTTCTCCCCATCGACTGCAAGAGAAGGTCTGGCGATCGGGAGAAACTCACGCCTCTTATGTTACAGTTTTTCTTCGCCAGGAAAGATTGCCTGAGATACCATGGGTAGCTATGTTGCCATGTCGATAGCCTGTTTTCCCCTAACGGTAGTTAATCTCACAAAAGACGAAAGTCCTTTTTTTAAAAGCGCTTGTATTTTTCTGTGTCTCCACATCTCCGTTGGTGGAAGAGATAGGAGCAAAAAACTTGTGAAAGACATGAAGCTGTCTCTTTCAGCTATTAGCTAACAGGAGGGTGGACGACTCTGTAGCCGTGGGCGGCAATAGGATAATTCATTCCAGTTTCCATATTGTATATAAATCGGGAAGGTCAGAGTTAATCACTGATGCTTGGAACGTCTCAAAATACAAGGAAGTGGACTTGACCTTCGTTAGCGTTTGCGTCAAATCAACCATTTACTATTATTTACCGTAAATTCCGACGTACAAACTGAGTTTTCAAGCCTAAAAATATTTCCAAAATCAGGAGTCGACTTTTATGGTGAGTATAAAATGCAAGAGTGGGACAATTACTGTACAACACTTACCAGCAAACTGACAAAAATATATCCCACTAAAACCTGTGTTTGGTGAACATATTTGACATATTAACACAGAAATTAATATAAAATGTTCACGTCACTGTTTTTTTACATCATTCATACAAATGGCGGATTAGTGATACTTTGTTTTCAAATAACATACAATACGTAGCAGTACTATCAAAAAACCGCCTGGTATGATGTGTAATCTACGGTATTAATATTTTATAGGAGTTGACGAATTTTAAATGTTCGCTAAGTTATACGGACACAATATACGGTACCTATTCTTGTGTGTTGTAAGTTGTTTGTTATACAACGCATATAAAAAAGATATTACAATTAGTGTCTCAGTATACAGGTAAGTGGTGTGACTTTATGTAGATTTGGTACAAGTTATCGTACACTGTAGCCAAACTTCATTTACGGGTAGGCCTAAGTTTTGAGCCATTAGTAACGTACGGTATGTTTGGGGTCGGCCTACACGCTAGTTATAGACCTAACTCAGCATTTTGAACTAAAAATCTTGAGGTCGACTTGTACGACGCAATTTATGGTATGTGGAGATGTAGGTAATGGAACAATTGTCGACGCTGTAATTAGAATCGGCGAACTTATTTGAAATTCCAGTTTCTTGTGTTCTCTTTTGTACTAATGCTTTTAGGTGAATGTATGCATCCATATCTTCTCTCTCCAGCTATGGGTTAAATAACACGGTAGACTATTCTCTCTAGACTCGAGTGGCAGCCACTCTAAGAGGCGAGCAACTCTGTATTCAGAACCGTGGAGAAGGCAACGAGAAACGAACAAAAAGGGGCAAATAGTAACATACACTATTTACATTGTTCGGACTGTTGTCCTCATCTTTATTGTCATATTCACGACGTTTCGACCACTGTACGCTCACGCCTTCATCGGGTAATTGGAATTTTCGAACCGAACTCTTTATTTCGTCCACCGAGCTTGATTGTTCTACTTCCACGAGTCATACCTCTTCCGGTGTCTCAGTTATAATCCTTCCACTCAACTATCCAAGTCACTGGATCTAGCCAAAGTTTTTATCCACTGGACCATATCTCCTTGAGAGCTCATACTGCAATTTTTGTTGTTATTAATGCTTTTATCTGGCACTCCGTATATATTGTATTCATTTCTCCCATATTGTATTCATTTCTACGCTTGGCCTTCTTAGAAGATTTTTCTGACCTAGCATATATGCTGATTCCTTAAGTTTTCGTATTTTCCAGTGATTTTCTCTGTCTATTATCCCACAGGAGGCGGTGATCTCCCTTTTCCCACCATATGTGACCAGCTAGGCCTGATCTTTCTATTTCTCCTCTTGTTACGGCTTTACAATGTTCTTGTATTCTTACTTTAAGGGTGCGGTCTGACCATTTCTTGTTCATATGTCTCTGGATCACCACATGACTTTTGCTCGATGTTGTAAGCAGCGGACGATCCCTTTCTTTACACTGTATGGGTGGTGGGAGTTTAAGTTAAGGTATTGTCTAATGAATGCTGGCATGCGGTATACCGATGTCTTGAACCTATGCCCTAATCGAGATATTAGTACATCCAAAAATGCTAGTTTGTTATTTTCTTCCTCCATTGTGAACTGTATCGATGATCTTATTGAGTTCACATGGTCCATTAGTATCTGGACTTCCTGTTGAGGCCAGAATATGAAGGTGTTATCTACGTATCTCATCCATAGAATTGGCCTGGTGATGTGGATTCTAATTCTATTTCTTCGAAGTATTTCATGTATATGTTTGCCATTGCTGGTGATAATGGCGAGCCCATTACTTCATCCTATCGATATACGCCTGATCCCATTCAGAAATGTGTTGTTTTTGTACAGAAAGTCAGCATCTCCATCAGGTTATCTGTTGATATACTGGACTGTTCTCCTCGGGATGAGTCCAGAGCCAGTCTGTCTCTGACTTCCGACAGTACCTCCTCCGTGGGTACCTTGTCCAGGCTCACCATCTGGTTGGATTGGATGGAAGCATCTTTAATTATTTCCAGGATGTGGGCACAGTTTCGGACATAGGAAGTCAATTTTCCTATTAATGGATCAATTATATCTATAAGAAATCAACTCAGAGGGTGGAACACAGAGCCTTGGCAGCTAACGTCTTTGTGAATTTTGATGGGACCTTATATTTGAGGTAGCTAAGTGTAACGCTTCGGCAATTGTCTGTATGTCTTAGGCAGGAAGTGTTCCTTCTTCTTGATTAGGATCGACGACAGTTTATATTCTGTTTCCATTGCTGGATCTTTCTATACTTTAGCTACCATTTCTAATGAGGTCTTCCAGTTTTTCTGTATATTTCGACTTGTCCATCACTACGTTCGCATTGCTTTTGTCAGCTGACAGTATGATGATGTTTTTATTCCTCTGTAGGGTTCTGATTGCTCGCCTCTCCATTTTTGTGATGTTTGATTTGGGCGTCTTGGCTTTCTCCATTATCTGCCTCCCTTTCCATCTCAGGTCATCCGCCCGAACCTGGGGGATGTTCAAGGCTATTTCCTCGATTCGGGCAACGATGTCCAAGTGTGCTATGCACCTGATGGTTGTGGCGAAGTTGAGACCCCTTCTTTAGTACTGACTCCTCAGAAGCACTCAGCTGGTATTGACTGATGTTGATTACTGCCTTCATTGGGTGGGAAGGGGTGATCGATCTTGTTCGTCACATTATAACATTTCAATCTGTTTAATTCCGCCAACAAAATATGGCAACAAAGATAAGGACAACAATCCGAACAATGTAAATAGTATAAATAATTACGATACCTCATCTCAGAAATATAGACAGATCCTGAAGAAGGCCGGAGTGTAAAATGGCCGAAACGTCGTGAACAGGACAATAAAGATGAGGACAACAATCCGAACAATGTAAATAGTATAAATAATTACGATACCTCATCTCAGAAATATAGACAGATCCTGAAGAAAGCCGGAGTGTACAATGGCCGAAACGTCGTGAACAGGACAATAAAGATGAGGACAACAATCCGAACAATGTAAATAGTATAAATAATTACGATACATCATCTCAGAAATATAGACAGATCCTGAAGAAGGCCGGAGTGTAAAATGGCCGAAACGTCGTGAACAGGACAATAAAGATAAGGACAACAGTCCAAACAATGTAAATAGTATAAGTAATTACAATACCTCATCTTAGAAATATAGACAGATAGTGATTGACATACCTAAGCAATATTTGCCTACTTGCTATCCTTTTGCCGGTGTAGGGTGGTAAGTAGACAAATAATGCTGAGGGCTGTGAATAATTGGGAGTATCGGAGAATCGTGATCGCCATCACCCCGAAGAGAGGCGGAGAGAAGAATCTGATGCTTTACCAAGCAATGTGCTGGAATGTTAGGCCAACATCCATCGAACTGACAAAACAGGTGCAACAACCGCGATTTTATAGATATTGGTGACATGTCAAATTACCCGGATAGGACAAATGCGGTTCAAACTCCCAGGTGGGACGCGGGTTGGATTAGTTTATGAACTCGTACAAGCCGACTGACTGATGCAATGCAGGTGACGACCTAAAACAACTGTCGAAGTCTGTCACACAGAACAATATGTACACGCCAGGCTAAAAAGGAATGCATAAAAATACGTCATTCCATATTGTGAGGATGAAAGCCGGATGTATGCCTGATGAATCACTACCGGAAATGACTGGAGATTAGATGACTTGCGTCAGGAAATTTTCACTTCGTCTAAATAATAATACTAATACTACTACTAATAATATTAATACCAGTAATAATAATAATAATAATAATAATACTAAATTGGCAACTAGTTCTCACTATTTTTACTGTTGAACTAGCTAGATGCAACCATATCTTCTATTCTAATATTTTCTTTTCTCTCCTATGGAACTCAGTTCTGATTTCTTACTTCCTAGAAACCTACAATCTCCAAAAATTTATCATGCATCATCAATCACCATCTTCTGTCTTCCTGAAACCTGTTCTTTTATTGTCCTTTCTCTGAATTCATCTCATTATCTTCCAAACCTTTGCGTCTTAGTGGCGTTATCGCCTTGTTTTGGGGGTGAAATGATTAAACAAATACAATAAATAATAAATGTTCATTCTAATTATTTACTTGGCGAATGTCTGGCTCAAGGTCAATGAATAGATGCTTCATTACTAGTTGTCATCCTCACAACTGTTACTTTCATTATTTTCAGATGATGATGATTATATCTACTGGCGTTCAAAATTTTTGTGCCCTATTGGTAAATTAATTACTTTTGTTAATTGTACTCCAAAATCGAGAGTGGTTAGGGGGGTGCATTTCTCGGTATATTTTATGATCTTTAAGAGCTAGAAAAAAAAAGTAACTCTATTTTAGCCTTTCTCTTACTGACCTCCTTAAATATTTTCTTGCATTAGAAC